GCTATGGAAGAGACGTTACAGCCTAGTAGTGAACATGCCCAACTCAACGAAAACGAACGAATATTCAGTTATGACTTATATTAATAAGGGTATCTTATACAGCTAATTCAAAAACGGTTGTCCGTCGAAAACTCAAAACCTCAAACGTTAAACTATGAGCGCGCAATGCATCATAGGAACGCACTATTTGTTTTCACATTAACTCAGTATTACTACAATCCTGGCCAAAAGTCCTTGGGACAACCCAAAATTTTCGCATGTTTTTATTGTTCTCTTCAGGGAAAGCAGATTTAACACAAAATATGCTTTTGAACCGAACCCCCCTCCCCTCCCCCGTTCAATGTTGATTTTGGGGGCATCCTTAACTAAAGTGGTAAGAACTTTCAACATTGAATTGGGGTGGGGGAGGGGAGGGGAGGGGACAGGGGCGTTGTCTTTAGAATTCAAGGGTGGAAAAGGTTGAGTGTCCCAACACTTTTGTCCAGGATTGTCCGTGTATAGGAAAACTTGTAAATTGAAAATATTTTTTTAAGATATATAACATATATCCGTAATTGGGCTTTTCGCGAGACTTATTGATGTCACAAATTGTTGGTCGTTATTCGTGTCTAAAATCCGCTGACGCGCCCCATTGCAGGCGCACTAACATCGTAATGAATGATTGGTATGGTAATTAAGTGATTTGTTGTAAACGAGAGGGAAAATTTTAGATGCTTGTCTTTGAACAAAGCTTACAAAGCTTTTAATCATAAAGAACAAAATTTATTGTAAATTTCTAATGGTTTACAACCGTGAAATATCAGCTGAACAAAAGGCGCTCGCAATCTATTTTAAAGCTGGAATCTGGAACATCATACAGAGAGATCGCGAAAATGTTATATTTCAAAATTGGCTGCGGTAGAATATGCAAGTCCGGTTGCAAGTCAAAAGCGAAGTGAAAACCTGCACAGGGTTGGGCGAAAGAGAAGCAAAGGATTGGAAATTGCCAGTAAAGGTTCTAAAGAGCTCCCTGGTCTGCCTCGTATCCAGAATCGATCAAATTAATTCACGAGGCGCACGTAAAGGCCGCGCATGCAAGCCATAGAACAACACATAGTGCCTGGGTTGACGTGTCAGCTTTTGAAGATTTCGAAGCAGAAATGCATGTGATACCTCCACGTTCACCAGATCTAAACCCCATGAATAGAGAATATGTTCCATATTGTGAAAAATGACTTAGAGCGCCAAGCTATTTGCGAGAATATCACGGCTGAATCATTGAACTAATTTTGAAAGAAAACATTTTAAGCGTTAGATAATACCTCCGTCGACATGTAAGATCGCTACTTCCGTCGACGTTATAGATCGCACAATAAATAGTATGTCTGGGAGCATTCATGCTGCAATTAAATCCAAGGTATTCCGAATAAAATATTGACAGCTTATGCCTAATTTTATTGCTTAATATTACGTAATCTATTAACTCAATTGAGACCGGAAATTCAAAATGAAATGTAAACATGTACAGTTCTCGTCGACAGGAGCAACACTTCTCAGCATCATTTCCAATGATAAATATAGTATTATTCATTTGTCACACCAAATTTCGGTGACATTTCTTTTTGTATACAATTTACTTTCGAAGCTAAGCTGAATATTGTATAATAAAGTGGCTCACTTGCGACTTTCCACAGTTCTCACTTCTTGAGTAAATAAAATTGCAATTTTTTGTATTTTCTAAACTCAGTGATGATGAGAACTGTTGCAAATACGTGTACAATGCACTTTCTATACACAAGAAAACATTTTAACAGAAGTGCAGCTATGACTGAAATCAGAGTAGAGGGTTATCCAAAATATATCATAAAAACCAAGTGCGAAATTTCAAATTATATTACTGAGAACTGTGCGTGAGTACTGACTGTCTCTGCTTAATATGTTGCTTACGCGTGTTAACAGAAATGTTATTAAATATTAACTATCATTGTACGTGCGGTATTTGGTCATTCGTTTGTATTGTTTTCCACGACTAGTTTTGTAAAACAGAAAGCGACCATGACATTTTCTAAGTGTTCTCATTATCTGCTCAGTTCAGTCCGGTTCACTGTTTTTTACATCTTCGATAGTATTATTAAAAATTATTATTTAAAAATATTTAACAACGGTAGCCCTATCAGTTACCTGTTTTTCAAGGGTAGTTTTCCGAGTATATGAATATAATTCGTTAAAAGATCATCTAGCGTCAGAACGGCAAAGATTTTCGTCCACATTTCATTTTTAGTTTATCATCTAAATTCCGACAATCCTGGCCAAAAGTCCTTGGGACAACCCAAAATTTTCGCATGTTTTTATTGTTCTCTTCAGGGAAAGCAGATTTAACACAAAATATGCTTTTGAACCGAACCCCCCTCCCCTCCCCCGTTCAATGTTGATTTTGGGGGCATCCTTAACTAAAATGGTAAGAACTTTCAACATTGAATTGGGGTGGGGGAGGGGAGGGGAGGGGACAGGGGCGTTGTCTTTAGAATTCAAGGGTGGAAAAGGTTGAGTGTCCCAACACTTTTGTCCAGGATTGTAGCTGTACTGGAGATGTGATAATTTTGTAATGTTTAGCTGAATAACTATTCTCGAGAATATATCCACGACTTTGAACTTTGTTTAATATGACTGTATAAATCCAAACGGCAGTCTACAAAACCGGTCACGATTTAAACTCGTCTTTGCCGTGTGTGCAGACTTAAGATATATCAGTCAGACTATTTAAATTCAAAAATAAACTATACATGCACTTATGGGGCGAAAATATGCACTTATGGGCCGACCTTAAACGACTTAACTTTTCTTCAAACATGAACATGGATGTAGATACCGTATGGTCTAACTGGAAAAAACTGTTTCTATCGGTAGTCGATAAACATGCTCCTGTTATTAGTAAGAGAATTCGAGGTTTAGAAACACCATGGCTTTCTTCAAAAATAAAGTCTCTTATGTACGAACGACATTACAATCTTAGAAATGCCCGCGCAAATAACTCTGAATTATTTTGGAGAACATATAAGAAGCTTAGCAATACTGTCACGGCTGAAATCCGAAAAGCTAAATCAAATTTTAATAAGAAACTTTTAGAAGAGAACATGGATAACCCTAGCAAATTCTGGAAATCTATTAAAATAATTACATCCGGCAATAAAACCAAGACTAATCCGCCCATACGAGTAAAGTCCATTTTCAATGATAAAGTAACCGAGACTGATGCAGATACAGCTACTACGTTGGGCATATTTTTCAGTCGAGTAGCGGAACGAACCTCTAAAGAATTTTATAAACTGCATCCAGCCTTAACCTCTTTATCCTCAGTCCCGGCTTACATACTCAATTCAAGTAATGTTGGACCTAATGTTTTCAACTTTAAAGAAATTGAGATATGTAACATTTACAATCATCTTCGAACATTGAAAACGACTAAAGCCATTGGTCTGGACGGTATTCCAGCAAAGTTGCTTAGAGACTCAGCATCAGTTATTGCGCCATCAATAACCTCACTATTCAACCTATCGTTATCCACATCAACATTTCCGAGTGATTGGAAATTAGCCAGAATTATTCCCATCTATAAAGGCAAAGCCCGAAACGACCCAAGTAACTATAGACCCATCTCAATTCTCCCAACCCTATCCAAAATTCTCGAAAGGGAAGTTCATAAGCAGTTAAGCACCTACCTAGAAGCCTTAAACCTTATTTCGGGATCTCAGTTTGGTTTCCGTAAGAAGTATTCATGCCCAATGGCTATCACTCTTATATCTGACACCATTAGGAAAAATTCTGAAGCGGGTCTATTGACAGGCGCAGTTTTCCTCGATGTTCAAAAAGCATTCGATACAGTTTCACATCCGAAGCTACTCAGTAAACTGAGATTCTTTGGAATCCGTGATAACGAACTTAATTGGTTTGAGGACTATTTGTTAGATAGGTACATTCAAGTTGGAGTGAACGGTGCATTATGTTCATCATTTCCTGTGAATTCAGAAGTACCGCAGGGATCTATATTGGGACCATTGCTTTTTATAATGCACATGAATGACTTATTGCTTACTCCCTTTACTGGCTCTAACCTGATAATGTATGCTGATGATACCGTGATCTATTTCGCTGCAAAGACCACTGCTGAAATTATCGATATACTAAATGAGGACTTAAAGATTATCGGAGACTGGGCAATCAACAATGAAATCTATCTGCACCAAGGGAAATTGGAATCGGTCCTCTTTGGGACGCACAAACGGAGATCAATAAATGAACCCTTAAAAGTTCAAATTTATGGCCTTGATATAAAGTCGTCATTGGTATACAAGTACCTTGGTCTACATCTTGACA